CAGAAATATCAGGAATGGATCGAAATTATCAACTCGCACTTTGGTACCGTAAATATCTTAGTTTGTCATTCTCGTCGTTTAACGTAACTAAGCGAATGATTTATGTAAAAAGATGACGACGAGTCGACAGTAACTAAAATATTTCTCTAGCAAACATTAGTAAAAGCAGTATGGCAGTTTACGTTCTTCGTTTAAAGTTGTAAAATACTTTAGGGGTTTCATTTTCTAACATGCTAGTTGTACACGCCCGTAGAGTCAGATGTTCTCAAAAAAATGACGTAGAGAAACGGTTCTGTCGAGTTTACCAACTGGAGGGTAGTGGGAGAGAAATAGTCTAGCTGTATATAGCGGAACCAAGCCAGTGGAATATGATAGTAGCTTTATTCAGTCTGCAATGACAAAAATTGGTTTTAGTTTCTTATACAATGTACAGTGGAGGTCACAGAAGAGAATAAACTATTCTTTTTAAACTACATTTACGCTTAATTTGGTTGGTATTATACCCTTATAAATCAGACGCCATAATATTCTCAGTAAAGACTTACACGATCTGGGGAGACAAATGACAATGGTGTACCTGTTGTATAGCATGTGACCAAACTTCCCGCCAAATTAAGGGTCGCTTAACACCACTGTTATGGTAAAATCATCACGTGACAGGGAGAAAAAACTTCCAAGTCACGCCACATAAGACTGGAGCGGCTTGGGTGTTGGCTCATGGAACTAATGATAAACCAAATGAATTTAATTGTAAAGGGCGTTCTCTACGGGTATGCAAGAACTTCGAGGGAGATCGTTCTAGTAAAAATTTCAGGTAAGGTCAAATACAATTTAGTTCGTCTGGTAAGCTACTAATAACAAGTCTATGATCCATTGAAAAGATTCTCTTAAAAAAAAAAAGAAGCAGTATAACAGTTAAACGTTTCGACGCGCGCGAAAACTACTGATCTATCTCGAATTAAACTTAAAGAACAAGTGAAAATGACTGAAAATACAGTTGCTGTCTATCGTTGAGACATAAAGTTTAACAAATAGCTCGTCTTGGAACTAAGTGATCCAATTCCAGCCTGCGTTTTGTCAACATTTCGTATCATAAGCCAATGGTCGTGGTCGTACGAAAGTTTGATAAAGGGAACCGGCGGATAATTGTTAACCAAACATGTTATTGATCTGGTAGACTCGGTGCTCTTAAACGACCGGGTGTTTTCCTTTTCCTTTTTAAATAAAGTTGATGCAATAATAGCACCCTCTCCAGGACGGCGGGAAAATTTATCATAACGATATATATATAAGACCTTCATGGCAAGACAGATTGAACTTACGGTGACCACAGAAAATGTCAAGTCAATAGCGATCTGAAATTGTTCATGTTCAGACAAGTCGCTCCTCAAATCTAGCAACAACTAATTTCTCAGTGAAGAATGGCCGATCATTTTAGAAGCAGGCATTACAATTTATATTTTTACTTTGCTTGAAAAGTTATACCTCTCACATAAGCCTAACAAAGAGCCCGGCAACACCCTGACAAAGGCTGAGTAAATTTAAGAAGGCTTTTTGTTCTCTTATTCTAGTATCAGACATCCAAAGTGGCTCTAAAACCAACTGTCTTAGGTCCATCCTTGAAAAATAACTATGTGCTGCTAGTAATTGGCGAGGAGAGAGTAACCAATGAAAGGAATTGAACATCTTATCAAAGGAAAATTCATTCATTCATTTGCCTTCATCGTACACAGGCTACCCGCTTGTACTACCAGCATTTTTCCCCGTCATAACTAGCTATCGGTCCAAGTTCTTTCTTTTTAAGGTTTCATAACACTTCAGAAAACTTCTTCTTGTGATGTGGGTATCTTTAACCCTTTAAGCTCCTTGATCAGATTGTTAATTCTCCCCTCTGGCTGCTACACATATCCTTGTAAATTAGATATAAGGATATAGTGTTTGATCAAGATAACTTCTACCTGATAAGTTTAAGTATTCTCATTACCTGTTTGCTGGATAGTGTATGGACATTTTTGGGAGAAGTTACACTTCCGAAAGTTAAAGGGTTATTAATGATCACGATGGTTCAATCTTAGCACAGAAACAAAGCAAACAAACAAACCATGTGCGGTACGTTAAACGTTACCACTGAATTACGTTGATTTAGATTTTTTTCTCTGCTTCTATTAAACCCTGTTCCTTTTTTTCTAAAGGTTAGTTCTCAGTCTTCCAAATATTTAGTCAAATTATTAAGCTAAATCATCGCGTGACCTTCCTCTTAAACTGACATATAAATATTTGCGAAATCAAACAAAATCTCAAGTGCACGTGCGCTACTGTCGGTACCAGGACTAACCACAAGTTGTTTACTCCCTCCCACTTCTCCATTTACAGTGTCGATTGCGACAACATGAAGATACTTGATATTATTGGTTAACATGAAGCTATCATCTTCAATTGGAGTTTTCGTTATAGCGCACTACATTTCACATGTTTGCAGTTCAGTACTAACAGGTATTTGTGATAAGTTTTAACATCGATCGTAACTTTTAAAACAAATGTCAAGTATGACCCTATTTAATGGTAGACAATAATGGGTCACCGCACGAAAATCGAATGAATCGCTTCAATTTTGGCATTGCTAAAGAGAGTTGGGGACAATTAACTTACACTGCGTAACCTATTACAATTGTGTTTCATTCACATTCTCTATGTCCTCCTCAATGCTTATCTATTTGATAATTCTTAATATTTTGAACCACTCAATAAAGGCCGGCAAAGCCTGGCGGGTGTATCGCAGTTCTTGAATGAAAAACGACAGGTTGTTGTTTTTTTCTTGGAACGTATCGAAGCGACCGCTGATTATAATCAGCTGCTTAACGATGTATATATTATCTACATGTACCAGATTTTCCTACTTTCCTCAAAGTAAGGTAACTGATTTTGAGGCAAATTACTTCAATCTTAATTCAATCTGATACGTTTCAGGAAAAAGCCGATGGTCGCCTAGTTTCTTAAGTCAAGTTCGTGACCTATCGTGCGAGCCCGGAGAAGTCAGGAACAACGTCACATTTCTCCATGGCACTAAATCCGGGAATTTTACCAAATTAGGAAAAGTGTCTGACTTGGAAGTATGTATGTTGTTATGCTGTGAGCTGGACCGTTGTCAGGCTGCGTTTTTGGCGGGAAAGATCTGCTACTCGGTTACTTGTTTCACAGATAATCATTGCGCAACGGCGCCAGCGCTGAACAACAAATGGCAGCCAGTGGTGGCGTTGGTAAAGCGATTACATAAAGCAGTTCATGTAGAAGCTGGTAAGATGTTTTTACGACATTTTAAATTTTTTCACTAGTAACTTTCCTTTATACGCAAAACGACCAGAGTATAGAATTATTCAGCGAACTGTCCTCCTAACTTTACATTGGAGATTCTTTTTACTCCCCTCAAAGAAATGGCACCTCATGAACTCAGTTCACATATTGTGTCG